ATAGTTGTACCCACTGTAGAACAATCCACTTAAATAATTACAAGCGTTTTTACAAGTTTCAATTGTGTTTTCTAAAGTATGTGAGTTGTTTACAAACAAAATTTCTGAAGAAACTCTTAAATATTTGACAGCGGCCTTGATAGAACTTTTCTTTTAGATGTAAATTCTTCTTGAAGAAAACAGGTTAAGGTGCAAACAATGTAAAAGTTTGCTTTTCTTTATTCGTTTCATCCAGGAACAAGAAGATTCAGAACAAGGTGTACGTAATGCAGTTTTCAAACCATTTTCTTTTGAAAATGTTTCTATAAAGCCAGGAACAAGGTGTTAAGTCTTTATATTGGACTCTAGTAGAAGCATTCTGTAGATTACTGAAGCTGGTCTTCTGAAAAAATAAGATAAAAGGAAACAATGGATAAATTAAAATGATACTATTGTGTTACAGTGTAGATTTATAGTAAACAGAAAAAAACTCTGAAAACCAGACCCTCTGATGAAAACAGGACAATTATAAATGTCCTGTATTTTCGTATAAGTTTATTGAAAAGAAAATCCTCTTAATAATTTCGGAAACCGGACGATTTTCTATGGCTACTAAAGCCATAGATGAATAAAAAATCCTCTGAAAACTGGGCAGCAATTTAAGCAGCAACTTTCTCTGTATTTTAATGTGGACTAAGATGATACTCCCAACAGGTGGTATATAATGGTCACCTGCTTTATCTATGTAGGTGTGAAAAACAATTGCCAGTGTGTGTTAATTAAATTATAGATTTTTCATCATAATTTTGTCTTTTCCTAAATAGATATAATTTTTCAAAATTTTGTAATTTGTTTTTTTTTAAATATAAAATGTCAAAAGGAAACTTTTGTTAAATGATTCATGTTTTGTTTAAAATTTTGTTGTTATTCTTATTTAAGCATTAATTATTTTAATAAATTTTATGCAAAAATACTACTACTAAATTCCATTAATTAATGATTTTAAAAGCCAAATTAAAAAGTTATATTTCAAACAATGTGTTCTTAAAATTTCTAATTCGGCCTAAACAGACATCCGAGTAAAACCAAGGACCTTTCGTAAGATAACACTAGTACCAATCTATGCTTAGGAAGTATTTAACTCAGATGGTATTGAAACTCAGCTTACAGAAGTTGGAGTCAAATTTGATATTTAACTCCAACAATTTCCCTCAAAATCGTCCGTTCATGAATTGGTTGAATGAAGCAATTGTCCTTTGCACGGAAGCTTTTAAATTCTATTTTACTATCATAAAAATAATTTAAGGCTTACCTTGGCAAAAAAGGAACATGGTATTTCTGTTGCAAAACATATCTCCTCAAAATAATCAATAGCTAGTAATGATGAAAAATATAAAAAAAATAATAATCTATCGCTCAGTCCTAAAAAAGAGATTCTGCATCACAAAGATTTTGATCCAAGGCCGCTGAAACGAGAAATAAGGCACGAGATTAACGCATTTCAAATTACTGGGTAAATTTTGCAGAACAATGTCGTATTTTAATCTAGTTAAATGTTTGTGAACAAGAAGGTCACGAATACCTTTATATCGCTCACCTGATTAAAAGACTTTAATTAATATGTAGCAATTTATATTGAAAGTTATAAATGAAATGCAGATATTGATTCTAATCTTAAACTGATAATTATCACAAAGTTCATATTTGCCTCTCAAATAGTGTACATTTAACATAACAGCCACAACCAAGTGCGACATGTAACTCTCGGCTTTTCCTTTCTTATCTTTGGTCTAACAGATTGAAGAAAGGATAATGCAGTAAAGAATACTCCTAGCAAACATAACTAATTTGAACAAATTCAAATTTAATATATGATATTGACGAACAAGGTCACATTTGAATTAATCATTGCCAGTTTTGTAATAAGTAGTCTTTTGTCCAAGAACCAAATCTAATAATTAATGAAACTATGTCGCCTAAAGTAAATCTTGAAGGTCAATTAAAGGTCAAGGTCATATCAGAATTATTCAACATGTCAGCTTTGTCATAAGCGTTTTTTTGTCTTAATATAAATTAAATCCGCAAATGAAACAAAAAAGTTATTACAATATAAGTCAAGTTCATATTTGAATAACTTTTCATGTCAGTTTTGTCACAAGTGTTCTTTTTTCCAACTATTAATCAAATCCATAAAAAATATAGAAGTAATTGGTTGCTTACCACAATCAAAAGTTGCTTTTGAAATCAGTGGTTGCTATGGAGGTCAAAAGTCGTCAGTAGATTCATTTCTTTCTATGGAAAATAAATTGTTTATATGTAAGTCACTGGTTGCTAGGTAAAAAGTCAATGCTTGCTGTAGAAGTCACTGGTTGCTTTGAAGAGTCAATGTTATACAATTTTTACAATCGAAAGCCAATGGTTACTCTTGAAGTCACTTGTTAATTTTAAAGTACTTAATTGCTATCGGAATTAAATGTTGCAAAGGAAAATCAATATCCGTTTGGAAGTCACTGGTCGCGATGCAAAATCTATAGTTGCTATGGAAGTCAATAGTAAATTCACTGTTTGCAGTGGAAAGTCAAACATTTCTATAAAAGTCAATTGTTTCTAGGTAAAAAGTCAATGTATGCTATGGGAGTCGCAAAGTCAACAGGTGCTATGGAAAGTCAAAAGCTGATACTGAATGTCGATGGTTGCTATGGAAATTACATGTTGCTTGGGAAAATTAATAGTTGCTATGGGAGTGAGTGTTTCAATAAAAGTCAGTGGTTGCTATTGAAATCCCTGATTTCTATGGGGAATCACTGATTTTTATGGGAAATCACTAGTTGTTATGAATTTAATATGTTCCTACAGATAGTCAAAGCTTGTAAAATCACAAGTTACTAAGTGAATCCAATAAATGCTTTGCAGTTCAATGTTGCATTGGAAAGTCATGGCTGGTTTCAAAGTCCCTGTTTTCTAAAAACAATTTAAAAAATAATTCAATAAAACGAAATAACTGCTAAATATAACAATTACTATATAAAGTAAATAGTTCCAATAGTTGCAAAGGAAAATCATTGGTTGCTATGGAAGTCACTGGTTGCTAAGTTAAGTCAAAATTTGCTAAAGAAATAGATATGTTGCTATGAAAAGTCAATGGGTACTATGGAATGTCAATGGCTGCAATGAAAGTCACTTGCTGCTATGGAAAGTTAACGGTTGCTTTGGAAGCCAGTGCTTGCTATGAAAAGTCAATGGTTGTAATGGATGTCATTGTTTGCTATAAAGTATTAAAATGTCAAAGGTAGTTTGGTAAGGTTAATAAACATTTTAGGAAACTATTCATCTTGGGGTGGAACAAATATAGAACCTGATTCCATAGTTTTAACTTGCAAGAATTCAATAGACAATAGTTCATGCCAAATACATAAGCTTTAGCATTGATGGTTTTAAAGAAGTTGATTATTTTAATTTTAACTATAACAATACATACGGGATGTTTTTAAAAAAGCTAAGGCCCCTGGGGGCTGGTTCAATTGAGACCCCCAGGTCTATAATATAAACATACTTAATAGGATTCCACAAAAAAATGCTTCATCCCAAACATCTAAGTTTTTTAGGAAAAAAGGGTTTTAAAGCCATTTTTTTTCTATTTTTACTAAAATACAAAAAAAAAGGAGAATTTACTTAAACCCCCCCCCAAAACCGGGAAAAATTTTAAACCCAAAAGGGCTTAATTTGTATAACTTGTTAGGGGGTACGCCAGAAAATGTTACATGTATTTAAAATTTTAAACCCTTTTGGTGGTTTGAATTTGTTTTTAAAAAAATATATTTTTGTATAAAAAACGAAAATTATTGCATCCCAAATTTATGTTTAAAAAAATTTAAATTTGACCCATCATTTTTGGGACGAATCCAAATTTTTAAATTTCAAAATGGCAAAAAATTGAAAAAATTTTGGGTAGTTTTTTCACTTGACATAGTCTAAACACATATTTAAAGTTTAAAAACCTTTTATTGGTTTTAAAGGAAAAAAGGAATATTTTAAAAATTTTAAATTCATATACTTTTTAAGGGAAAATCAAATTTTCTGTTGGGAAAAACATAGACCCCGGGAAACCTATAATTTTGAACAAAACTTTTTTAGAAGAAAAATTTGCCAAATTTCTTTTGCAAAATACCAAAGCTTTACCCTTTGATTGTTTTAAAAAAAAAGATAAACTTTAAAAAAAACATTTTTTAAGAAAAAAAATCTTTTAAACCCGGATAGGTCATTTTTAGATCTTTGGGGCCCTGAAATGTTTAACAAACGTAAAATTTTGTTGGGAAAATATTTTCAGGGTGAAATATTTTTGGGATTTTAAAAATCAAAAATTTTTTTTCCACTTTCTTTTTTACTTTAAATATATTTTTTTTTAGGGAAAAAAGCTATAAACCCTTTTTCCCAAATTTCCCCAGGGGGACAGGGCCCAAATTTAAAAAGACCAAAAAGGTCCATACGGGGTTTTAAAACCTTTCACAATGTATCATGCAAATTAAGCTTTTAGGGTTTTTTTAGAGAGTTTTGGTTTTGAAAGATAAGAAAAAAAATCTTATTACAGGGTACTTTTTGTATTTTGATGTTTTTTTGTTTTTAAAATGAGACCCCCTTTTAAAATTTTAAAAATCTCGCAAATTAAAAATGAAACCCAAAAAAAAGCACACAATTCGAACAAAGGACAAAAAAAAAAAAGGGGAAAAAAAAAAAAAAAATCAAAATTTTTTTAATTTACCAATAATTTAACATTTAAAAAAAGTAATAAGATATCACAGAGAGTTAATTTATAACCGGTGTTACATCCTAGATTTTAAAGATACTTTTTTATTTAAAAATTCTATTTCGGGTATGAAAAATTCAAGGAAAGTATTAAAAAGTTAATTTATTTATATCAAATATATGTTCGAGTAAACGTTAATTTAGTAGTAATCTACTTCATTTCTTACATATGCTTGTTTAATAAAACAATAAAGATAAAACATTCAATATCAAATCACTTACCTGTAAAATATTTCCATATCCTAATCCAACTTTTATATCCATTAAATTCCGTAAAAACTTCATTGAATTAATTCTATTTATTAATTTAAATGATTTTATTTAAAATCAATTGTCCTTTAATTTATTAATTGAAATCGGATGTACATGTGTGTCCTTATTAAAGACTTTAGGGTAGCTTAAACAGTTGCCATTTTGTTTCTAAGTGTTCATCCTTAAATTGTTTTGTTTATTTCAAATTATTGAAGTAATTTCTTCAGTTTCTTTCACAATGTTTTTTCCTTATCTATTCTTTGCTTGGTTTTATTGTTTTGAACTCAAATATCCCCAACCAGTCGCCGTTTTTCCTCCCAAAATTAAATTTTTTTTGTGATCTCCGAATATTTTTTTGCTAAAACGTTTGTATTCTTTTTTCCGGGGTTTAATGGCTTATCCTTTTCTGTTTTAAATGACTGCCGGGGGAAAATTTTCCAGCCCCCGGTAAAAAAAAGGGTTTTGTTAAAAATTTCTGCAGACATTTTTTAATTTTCCCCTTTAAAAATCCTTTTTTCAAATTCACCCCTATCAGTGAAAATAAAAAATGAACTTTCAAGTTTTTATGTACTTCAAAAAGTTTAAAAACAAAATAATGACGGGGCGTTGATATTTTAATTTTTAAGGGGCCCAATTTTTCTCATTTTAGACATTTAAAAATTTTTATAGAGTTTGGAAAATGTTTAGGGCAAAGGGGGGCCAAAGTTTTCCCTCTCTTAAAAATCATTTTGGGCCGGGGTTTTTTGCAAAAACTAAACCCGTCCAATGTTAACTCTTTTATTGATTTTAGACCAGAGATAAAATTGAAAAAAAAATCCAGCATTTTGTGAGATAACGAGAAGCAGATTATAAGTAAAAATTGTAAGTTTTGACATTGCGCCATGTTTTCACTCAGATTTTCTTCATCATTTGTCCAGTTTCCGTTCCACAAAATTAAGTACTGTAAACTGGGAAACAATATCCGATTTATCTCAGCCTCCTTTTTAATGCCACCACAATAGACAAGTTTCTGTATATGACTGAGATCTGATAAAGAGAATAAATCTATAATTTCACGTAAACTGCTGGAAGTATGGTTGGTGTCTATATAAAGTGATTTAATGTTGGTTTTATTTTGTTTTAACAAACGCTGTAACTGCACGCTGTGCTCGGTGTCCTCGTTAATGGAGAAATCTTGTAAACATAATTGAATATTTTCAATTTCAGGCATTTCTTGCAAACACGACATGAACATTTTCTGTATGTCCCGCAATGGAGCATTGTACATAAAGTCCTCCTCGTCACTTGTCCTAGTTCTAAAGAGGCGTGTGTTCTCGTCTTCATTTATCACAGACATCAAATCCTTTGATATTTCAAACATCAGGCCAGCATTCATTTTACTTATAAATTCAAAAATTTTTGACATGTCCAGAATGTCTTGAAGATTTCTACATTTTGCTAGAATAGTTTTTTTAGCGTCTTCTAGATCTGTTTTCTGAGCGCCAATGTGCGAATTTATAAATATGGCGGCAAAGAATTCTTGCACTGTTTTGTGCGAAAACGACACTTTGATAATTTCTTTTATTAAAGTTTTACTTCTACTTTCTGACAGTATTCCTGAGAGAAGACTTAATTCCATATCGTCTGCTTTGAGATATTTTTCAGCAACCGTTCTATCAAAAACAAGCATGTTTTCTCTGTTTTCCTTAAACAATGTTTGATAAGCTAGTTCTGCTAATGATGTTATAAGACTGTAAAACTTTTTACAAAATTCATGACTTTTTAAGTATTCTGGTATTTCACTGGCAGACGATTCACGAGATGGGTGCGCTTCCGGGTGTTTCTTTGACGTTCTCGATAATAGAAATTCAATAATATTGGTGTAAATTTCATGTTTTGAATTTCCTATTGGAACGTTGTTACACCAAAGGCAAACTATATACATGAGGAGGAGTGGGATCACTTGCATGTGCTCTAGGCCACGGTCACGTATCGCTTTATTAATGTTCTGTGTTTTACGCTTCAGTACGCTATCGTTTTGGACATTTGTCATTTTTCTTATAGCATTTTCTTCTAGTTGCCGTGTAGAATCTGAATTTAATTGAACCAATTCTACTTTTTTGTTTATTTGACTTGTCTTGAGATTTGAAACTCCAAGCTTCCACGGTCGAGTTGTCGTAAGGATAACACAATTATCACGTACGTACCGATGTGGTATTTTTTCTGTTACTTTGCTACAGCTATTATCAGGGTGAGTCCATTCATCAAGACCGTCCAATATAATCAAGCATTTTTCTCTACATAAAACTTCATCTAGTGATGCTGATGAAGGAAGTTTCTCAGTAATTTGCTGTTTAATCATATCGTCAATGTTACAAACATAGGTACAGTCTCTTAATGAAACCAAAAATAAGAACGTAAAGTCAAATAACGTTTTTAACTCGTCGTCTTTAAAACTGGCGTAGTTTTCATTGTGGCAATGACTTTGACACCACGTGATTGCAAGATATTTGGAAAAAGCAGTTTTTCCAAAGCCTGCCTCAGCTGATAAATAAATGTCTTGCTGTTCTCCACTTTCGGTAGAAAACAGATCTTTCAAAGACTTGATCGGTGTTCTCTCCTCTTCATGACAAGTTAAGGATTTCTGTTTAACGGCGACTATATCTGGCATCACGTAGAACCCAGCTAGAGGTGTCTCTATTTCTTCAAGAAGCGGTGAGAGAGGAATTGAACTGCACATTTTTCTGTAGAATTTAATCAGGTTGCCTTGAAGTTCTGAAAAGAGAGAAAAATGTTAATGAGTGACAATCTTTCTATATAATGTATAAATGTTGAGGTGTTCACTAGCTTCAATTTTGCATAGTTGGGATTAGATAATGCATACGGAACATTAGAAGTAGATATGTAACACTATATTCAGATGCTATATTTAATTTTAACAATGCATAATAATATCTAAATCCTGTTTTAATAATTGCATAAATTCATATACAAAACGAAGTATTTTCCATCGCAATATTTAATACATTGAATGCTTGAAAATAAACATTTTCCTTCCTCATTAATGTAATCAAAACATACGAAATGTATTTGATATTGTAAATGTATAACTTCAAAATGGCACAAAGAAGCTGTATTATGTACATAACAACTGTATATCTGCAGTACCGTAGTTTGGGAATGAACACATTTTCACAAATTCCTGTATAGGGCGGGGTCGTGAAGGTGGGGAAAGTTTCAGTATCGGGACTTTAAAATTAATATCTCAGCAGTTTGATCTATTTTGTCGGAATGTTGATAATCTAAAAGACAGATCTTATATACAAGAGAAATACTAAGTGACTAGTTAATAAAATGCTTGTGGAACAAAAACACACAAAAAACCATAATGATTAAAATATTTTATATGCAGGTCTAATAAAATTGTATATGTCGATCACACATTTGTTCATTTTATTTTTGATAAAACATTATTATTTATTCACTTTTAGACCCTTAGAATTGGGGGGGGGTGGGGGGAGGCAAGCTAAATAAGAAAATATTTCTCCTATAGTTCATTGCATGAACAGACACCAAGAACGATACGTATATGTTTCACTTGTTTGAACCGTTTTAAAATTTTAATTTTTACATTAGAAAATATGTAAACAAATCATTATCACGGAGGGGAAATACCTGATTTAGTTCATAAGAGCTTGACCTAATCGGAATTCCTCGGCTATTATTCATAAAAACCTCAGACTGATTTTATCAGCCTGTCAATTGCGTACTGATTATACGATCAATGCATACAAAATATTTTCGGCAACGCTCGCAAGGTGTTCCCTACTAACATGTGTTTAAATTTATTTGTTTCTATAAAATATTTAAACTGAGTGATTTAACGCAATTTTTGCAACAACTTGGCCATTTTCTATAATAAAAATCCTACAAAAATAAAAAAGTTACCCTCTGACCACAGACCACTCGTAAACTTGGTCGAAACCCATAAGAAGATGTTTCATGCGCAATATCTAAGCTCTAGCTCTCTGGGTTTTTTAAAGATTTTACTATGTACATATAAGAAAAATCAATAACACCCTTGGGCGGAGCCAATTTTGACCCCAGGGCTTTTATCTGAACAATTTTGGTAGGCATACTTAAGAAGAATTGTTCATGCTTTATATCTAAGCTAAAGCTCATTGGGTTTTTTAAAAAAAGATTTAAAAAAATGTACATGTGAGGAAAACCAATGACCCCCGGGGACGGGTCCAATTTTGACCCCCTGAGGCTTTTATGTGAACAAACTTGATAAACATTCACTAGAAGATGTTTCACACTTTATATCTAAGCTTAGATATTTGTTATTTTAAGAAGGTTTTACTATAAACATATAGGAAAAATCAATGACCCCCAGGGCGAGGCCAATTTTGACCCCAGGGCTTTTATTTGAAAAAACTTTGTAGACACCCTCAAAAAAAAGTTTCATGCCAAATATCTAAGATCTAGCTTTTGTTGTTTTTTTTTTCTTTCGGTTGCCAGTGGTCTGCATGGAATTTAATTCTTTGAACACTTTTAAAGAAAAATTCCTGTGAAGTTTGGATGAAATTTGCTTAGCGGTTTATGAGGAGATGTCGTTTAGACGGACGGACGAATAACAAATTGTGATCACAAAAGTGAGCTAACAAAATACTAAAAACAGGTCATAAAAGCCAAAATAGCCCTCATTGAGTTAGTAACGTAGTAGAAATATAATACAAAATTAATCATGACTTGCAAATTATTATATCAATTTTATTCTTAAAATGTGAATATACATGTTTTTATCTTTCTTTAAATCTTTGCGGAACGACGAAAAAGTAAGGGTGCTGATTGACAGGTAGTTAGGATATTCAGTGGTCGACTCGAAATACACATATCATGAGGAAAACATTTGTAAGGAAAAAAAGTCGATGTAGTATAAACATTATTATTATTATTATTATTATTAGTATTACTATTATTATTATTATTATTGTTATTATTATTATTTTACAATTTAAACACTTCCGAGTCAGTTTCCTGGAACCAACTAGCATTTTACTCTAGATGAGGAATGTCCCTAGAAAATCTCAAACCAATGATCCCTAGGTTAAAAATTAGACACCTGAACCACTAGGTCAACGCTCACCTTGATAAAGCAAAAGAAACATTATACCCAACGACTTCTAAACGGGCAAAAGCCAATGATACATGTAAAAAAAAAATATTTTTTTTTAGTTGATATAACCATGAAGAGGCTTAATTCAAAATATTTATGTTCTTGGTGGAGAAAATCGTTTAGATGTGTTTGTTAAAATTATAACACTATGGAATCATATGGGCGGGCTCACCTTTTAACCAAAGATACATGGCTAATGATATGTTGATGTTCACTATGAATTGCTACGGACAAAAAAATCAAATGTCTAGATTTAATTGTTAAATTCTAAAATTTAACTCAATATAAGTAAGTGACCTAAGAATTGGACAAACATTGACCTTTTGTCATGATTGATTTATATTTTGTTCAAGAAAACAAGGTAAAAATACTTTATATATTGACGGTTTGTATAAATTTAAATTTATCTTATGTATCACAAAAAAAGCAAATCAGAAAAAATGTTCATTTTTGTAAAAGTTGCAATTAATCGATAATTTTGGTCAGGCTGAGATGTTGTTTTTAGACATATAATAACGACAAACGATGGACGACGAACAACCGACAGCTTACAGTCACAAAAGGTCACCTATGAACACTCCGTGCTCAGATAAACCTAACATATTTGACTTACCACCTTTGTGTTTGATATACTCTGGACTCAACAATGCAGTTTTCTCAAGCCGACTCTCTATCTCTTTTGTGTCCTGTCCATTCTCTGCACAAACAATCAGCTCTAATATGTCCGTCTGCCAAGTCTCTCTTAGACACTCTTTAAAATCTGTGTAACCTTTAGCACCTCTCTTCTTCACGTTTCTCAATATCGTGTGATTCTTATCAGTTGGGTCCTTGCCCTGTAATATTGTATTTTATCAATGCGATTCACAATTGTTTTATTTTTATAATAATTAAATGTTAATTATAATTTCAATACGTTTGGTAAGTATTAATTATCTCTTTCTCAAAAGTTCTCTTTATGCAAAAGCTAACGTAGAAATAAGATATTTTTTAAAGAATAAATGCAAGTTCCAGGCATGAACTAAGATTATTCCTAAAATGCCTCAGTAATTATACTACAATCAGCAATGTTAAAAATTCACCGTTGCCACACATGTTATAAAATATTGACCACTAAATTTTACTGGCATTTAAACTATTTTACATCGTACCTTGATATTCTTTCTGTCTGCGAAGGAGAGTAATTCAAAGCCTGTTTTACAATCAATTATAGGATCAGGCTGCAAATACTTCTTGAGTGAAACAAAGTTCTTAATTATGGCTTTACGGTAAATCTCAACATCAGAAGACTCTGCCATCTCCAGCTTTCTTAAATATAGATTTATAATTCAACATTTATTACACAATCTACATACATGTATAACACAGTATGGATTGCTTGACAACATGGTTAGTGTATTAAATCTTTCAAATAGAATGGCCTGGAAACACGCTGTGTAAACACTTCTCACTACGAATAAAATGTCTCGGCAACACTCGGTATAGTTCGCTGTATGCAAATTATGTAAGTGTTCAAGAAAATGTAAAAATTAAATACAAGAGTTAAAGATCCTGTAACACAATTCTATGGTTTTATGTCATAAATATGAGATTTATCAGTTCTTTAAAGCATTATTTATAAAGATATTGCCGAATTTTAAAATTAATTTTCTATAAAGTCTTAGTCAAATTTTTCAATAAGAAATGAATGCATATATTTTCATGATTTCATTAAATGTGGACAAATATTTACAGTACATATTTTACATAATCTTTGATGTTTGAAAACTGTTTCATTAGCATAATTATATACACACATATATATTCACTTTAGTGTGGTATACAAACTCAATTACAACATACAGCTTCTTTAAAATGAAAGATTAAATACATGATGTTCTTTAAAAATCTGAGAAATTGTGAAAAAATATATAAATATTTAAAAAAAAAATGTTTTTAAAGCCATAATTTGTTAAAAAAAACGTGACCTAGAAATCATCAAAACAAATTGTCAGACCAATTTTCAGGATAATTGGATAACAACAGTAGCCACTACAGAGTTAATAACATTTTGTATTTTAGTTGCTCTGACCTAGTTTTTCATTAGAGATGACCCATGTTCAAAATCCTTCACGCAATAAACTAAACAAGCATTATACGGAACACCGTTAGGGCCATCGTGGTTATTCGTTAAAATACAGAGGGCGACAATGCGATAGTGCGACAGTGCGATGACGACCATGCGATAGTGCGATGGCGACAATGCGACAGTGCGATTGCGACAATGCGATAACGCGATAATACGATGACCATAGAGCGATAGTGTTATCGCACTGTCGCCACCGCATTGTCGCATTGTCGTCATCGCACTATCGCAGTATCGTCATCGCACTGTCGCATTATCGCATTGTCGTACTTTCGTCATCGCATTATCGCACTGTCGCCATCCCATTGTCGTACTGTCGCCATCGCGTTATCGCATTGTCGACTATCGCCTTCCGATGGGCTGTTCTAAACCACTGACGAATAAGCTGACTGTATAAAATACTAGTATGGGAAATAATTTTCTTTTGTCAATAATTTTTTTTCTTGTTTTTTTTTATTATTATTATTATTGTTTGTTTCTTTTATGTACACTAAATACGTATAAATAAAATTATAATTTAATAGTAAGTAATATTTTGTATATAAATACTTAAAGAGTTATACATACGAAATGTAATAAATTGTGTGAAACCTTTATAAAGTAGAAATAATTCAGATGAAAATGATGTTATAATGACATTTAAAAGATGAAAAAATGATCGTTTATTATTTATATAAAAAAAGACAAACAAATTATATTCATATTTCATATAACATAAACATGTACACAAATAAAATTATGTAATGAAAAATAATAATGATGATAATGTAGATTTGAACAGTCTGTTTAAAATACAAAATAAAAAGATTCCTTACATTTAATTGGTCAATAATACATAAGTTTCTCGACTTAATAAATCTAACTGGTCAGCACTGGTCATTATGAAAATACTGCTAAAATCACTAAAGTAATATCTATTAAATTGTAATTGGTCATTTGTAAGATGTAGAATTTATTATATTACTATCATTATAAAGATAATCAAAAATGAACGTCAACACATAATTTTTTCTATATATCTAACATAGGTGGTCAGCAATTTTCACTGTAAGTTTAACTTAACAGCAGGTTCTACTATAAGTTTACCTGGTCAGCATATTGTACTATAGCCAACTGATTCCGCTACTGGACATAGTGAGACAATGTGTTTCAATGTTGAAAAAACACATCATTATTCTACCATTTTTATCGTATTTCCATTATATTTCAAACTACCAACTTAAGTTTTTATCAATATCTAAGATGGAGCCAGTTTTTAGGAAGTGGGTTGATCGCCACAGGCGATGCATCGAATGTAATGGGGAATACTTTGAAAAGTTGTGAAAACGTGTATGATGTTGTAAAATTATACGGTGACATGGACGTTATGCGTTTACCGTGCGCCGTTAAAGCTGTGATTGTATTAATTTTTTGTTGCTTGTAAAGTGGCATTTGCTTTTTATGTCATAATTTGTTATACTGTTAATAGAGGAATGATTGATGCAAAGTATTTTGTAGTTTTTATTGTTCTTATGCAACCTAGATGTAACATATTCCGCCAGTGCACGGATATATTGGATAACCCTCGTATATGGTCAGCAGATTTAACGTACACATTTATAGAAGAATCTGCTGACCATTTAACCCATAACCACATAAACATTTTGTAAAAAATGCATTTTTTCATTGTAAAAATCCCTGTTACATAAGTTCAAATTGCTTTGAAACTTTACAAAAATTCTTTAATGCTGATGAAACTTGGCACAAATGTTAACTGGACCTCAGCCTTTGTAACGGCATGCACAATTTTAATTTCCTGTTAACATTGCAAAGACGGGTCATTTTAAAATCGCTATGTTGTGTTGATGTTTTCCATCAAAGTTGCAACTTCTCAATGGATTGGGATAGAGTAAAAGGCTTTTCAGCGTTGGTTACACGTTACCTTAAAATCGAACTGATGCCATTTTAAGCCTCTCTCACAAGTCCAAAATTTGCTTGGAGTTGAGTGGGGCGGCAGTCCCCTTTCAAACCCCCATGCAGAAAAGGACACACCAACCTACCCCCCTCTGGCACCCCGATGTATTTTTTAGATAAGAAGGCGGCGCAGAAAAAAAGTGATCAATGTTTTAATAACATTTTTCAAACGAATACATGTGCTTGGGGATTAAATATGGCATTGTTTTCACTATTTGAGGCCTCAAAATGGGAGAGAGGTTAAAAGGCAAAAACACGTCTATATGAGGTAAAGGATTAAAAAATATAGAAAAATCTGTTGACCAGTTACACTTACAGTGAAGACTGTTGACCAATTAGATATCTAGAGAAATATGTTATTTTGCCAGGAATTTCTTATTTATATTGTAATGTAAGTAAATATAAAAAATTGTACATTTCGCAAACCAATTAAACCACTGCTGAAAAGAAAGTGCTTAAGTGGTTTTTGCCGTAATTTCTTCTTATTCTATATGGTCAGAAGATTTTACGCACTGTACGTCATGCGAAAAACTGCTGACCAGTTAAACGTATAGTAGAACCTGCTGATCAGTTTAACACATAGAAGTATCTGCAGACCAGTTACACTTATAGTGAAAATTGCTGATCACTTATATAAGATATACAGAGAAAATTATGTTTAGACGTACATTTCTTATTTTTTAACACTGTAAGTATATATAATAAATTCTGCATCTTACAAAACAATAAAGCCACTGATGACTAGCATTCTGACCAAGTTTGATGACAATTGAGTGAAAAATGTGACTATGCAAGTAAAACTCAAGCGTTTAAACGAAAAATTTCGCACAGAGGGAGGAGGTGGCATTAAGACGTAAACTGAAAGAAAAAAGAGAAGCTGTAAAATTTTCAAAGGGTAACGATTTTGATTTTCTGTCTACTTCTAATCTTCTGTCCGATACTAAAAAGGGCGGAGAAAAACGACACAAAAAAATTAGGTCTGGAAGAACTTACTGTTTTTTATTCAAGTTGCTCAGATTCGGATATGTCTGATAAATCGGACGATGAAGTATCAAGTATCGTTGTTTCGTCGGAAGAGGATTTCTCTCCCAATTCTAATAAAAAATGTTTAAAGGAAAAGCTCTCATAAAATCAGGTATCGAGGCTAAATCTTCTGATAGAGTGGAATTTTTCAAAAATATCCTCATTCTCAGTTAAGATATGAGTTTGTGGATCAGAGTCTGTCCTTCATTGATTTGTCTATGAATGTTGTTATAGCTGGCGAATAAGAGATTATTTCAGATAATGACACCAAATCCACAGAAAGGTAAGGACGTATGGGATTACTTAAAAGGTTAATGTATTTAAGTGTATCCTATGGTTAAGCATATTATGTAGTTGTTCTTAGGGAGATAGAGTTTGTCCAATGATTTCCATTATATTGAAATGACTATGCTAAGCAAATATCAGCCTCAAAATCAGAGAAGTTTATCCCTCCAACTAGTACAAGAAGTCGTAGATCTTTCGCAAAAAAGGTTTCTATTGATAATTCTTTTGATAAAAGTCAAGATTCTACATGGTTTTGTTCTCCCTATCAGAGAAATAAATGCTCTAACAAATCTGGTCAAATGATGGTTGGATGCGTATGGCTCAACATATTTGTGCTTCCTATTGGCAGAAAGATAAAATTGGATCATCCGTATTGTTCCACGGCTTGTCCATATGCTATGCGACGACTATTTTCATGCAAAAGAATTTTCAAGAATGAGAATAAGGTTGAAGATTTGTTTTACCAGAATTTTCTTTCAAAAATCAGAAATCGATATAAAGGAAAAATTCCATGTTTGCTCTGGTTCATGTCACTTGTGGAGTTATTTAAAAAAAAACTTCTGCCTTTTCAGAAGTTATTGAAAATATATAAATTCACGAATTGGTAAAAAAGTAAGGAAAACATTAATTTTAAAGGTTGCCGTATTCCTATTAATAACAAGATAGATACTTCATATATGAGACACATTTTGTCAACTTTTTGATATAATGATATGCTGGTATGTGATTTATAGAATTTGGTTTTCCTATAAATTTTTCTGGTGATGAAAATACATTTTCGAAATCTTTAGAAGCTTGTTATTACAAAAATTATAAAAGGGCCAATGATTTTCCAGTTCAAATAAACAAATATTTGCAAAGGGAGATTCAAAGTGAGCATATTATAGGCCCTTTTCCAAAAAAAATCCCTTTTCAAATAATT